GTGTGTGTGTGTGTGTGTGTGTGTGTGTGTGTGTGTGTGTGTGTGTGTGTGTGTGGTGCGTGTAAATTCTTTAAGATATTTAATCGATATATTTGTAATTTTTCTTCAATATTATATTAAAGTATCGCGTTTATATAAAGAAGAGGCTAACAAATTAAAACTTCATGCCCGAGAGATATTTCTATTTGGAATTCTTTTTAAGCTACTATCATTTATTATAATTAGGCTTTACAATTTTTAATATTTCTTTTTACTCCAGCTGTACTTTTGTATCTTTTAGATTCAATTTTTGTATCGCATTTTCTACATTTTCTTGCAACTTTCCACTTTCTTTTGCTCAAAAGTTCTATATAAACGCTCATTTCTTTCTAATAAGAAGTGCAAAAAGCGCAACGCAACGCAGTTAAAAGAAATTTTTTGCTTTCTCAACTTTTTGCTTTTGCTTTATTTACGAATATTTTGGAGAAAATCGATGAAAAGATTCGCGCATATTTTAGATATTGTGAAATTTTAGGAAGATAGGTAATTGCATTTTATTGTTTTTGTCAAAGAAAAACCAGTTTTACCGAAGAAACTCGTTCCAACTCGTTCGGTCTATCATCCTCGCGAATTGGATTCCGGCGAATAACGCGATAATGACCGCGACCACGGAACGAATTCGTTTTTCCATCGTCGATTGGTTCCCTGCGCAGCGAGACTTTCTCTCGGGGAATGTGCAATCATAGCGGTTGTGCGTGGAACCGCGTCCCACGAAGGCCGATTTGGCTTTCTAGTCGCGTTTCCGCTCGTTTTCGCCGCGAGAGACAACAGAGAACGCCTTGGCGTCCATCGTCCAGTAAATTCACCGTGACACACGCAATTCATCCTCCGTTATCTGTTATCGCGAGTGTGATAACTACGTCGGATCGCTCATCCAAGGATTTAGTCCGACTCATCTGATTATGAGCAATGAATCACCGCGATCACACGTAATTTTCCGATTATCTGTTGGTTTCATCAGCTTCTCGCTATTGGCAGTCTCGTGGATCTCCCGATAAAAAGTCAACGACACGCTTTGGAATATTTGGAAGGAAGATGAAGCGATGGCAGGTGTCGTGAGAATGAAGGGACCGAGTGCCCTTGTGACGCTTCTAGGATACTTGTTTTTTTCTTGCGGTAATTACCGGCCGTATAATTATAATCCATATTGCAAAAAAATATGCATTTGTGAAAAAGGAGATTAACGAAGTCTCCCCAACAAACGAGAATAGATTGAAAATTGAATTGAAATGGATTTAGATTTTCAGAAATATTGATTTACGAATGTTAAAATGAATGCTTTTCAATCCTGAATGCATTTTTAGGAATTATATATATATCTGTAGGAATGCATGCAGCATATCTCTACGCTTTTCAATCTAAAAATAATATTAGCTTTTTCTGTGCACAACACACATTGTGAATAAAAAACTTCAATTCAAAATTTTGAATAGGAAATGCAGTTTTTCAATCCAATTGCATCCAATTGAATCCAATTAAATCCAAAAAAAAGTATTCACTACTTAAAATACGCATTGAAATAAAAAAAATTTCAATCCATTTTAATCCATTCTCGTTTCCTGAGTCGAGAAAGAGCCGAAATCAACCGAAGACATCGCTTTATCCGGCATCGATGTCTCCGATGAATGCGAATGCGCGCGGCAAAATTTAGAGCTCTGAATTATTTGGAACAATTATTTCAAAACCTTTATTAGAATTATTTTATATATTTTTATGAATTTTTATAAATATTTAGAATATTTTTATAAATATTTAGAATATTTTTATAAATATTTAAATTGTGAAAAGACGAACAAAAAGTATAATATTGTGAAAAGTATATAATAATAATGTTAAACAATTATATTTTATGCTATCGTATTAAAAAAATTCCTTTATTAAGTCAATAAATATTTCAAATAATATTGACAGCTTATGCACAAGAAGATAATGACGAAAAATACAAGGGAAAATATCTGGGAAAATTAAATCCGTATCATCATCAAGTTTCCGGCGATGTCTGGGCTGTGGATCAATACACTCTGCTACTGACGTCTTTCAATTATGATGGTAATGGGGCTGATACATTTTTTTGGGCAGGCGCATCAAATAGACCAGGTCCGCAAGGATTTATTGTCCCTGATGAGTGGGGCAAGTAAGCTATATTTCTTTCCGTTCATTTAAAAAGAAAGACTAATACTCATATTCATAGTCAGGCCTTATATTTAAGGCTTCCTTAAATTTATCTTTAAATACTCTACGAATTATTTCATTGACTGCTGAGCATCTAAAGATAAATTTAAGGAAGCCTTAAATACAAGGTCTAACTACGAATACGGGCATAAGAAAATTTTAAGATAAAATGCAAAAATAGATTTCGAGTACATGCGTGTTCTTTCAGAACAAATATTTTGGACCGTTATTTTAACAAAGATTTTATACTGACCTTGCCGGATAATAAAAAGATAACAGACATCAAATGGTTCGCAGTGTACGATTTAGTGACTCAGGTAATATAAATTTTATAAGTGATGTATTAATTTTGTGTACAGTATTATTTCATATTTAATTTTTGATATAAAAGCTATATAAGGATTAGTTAAGGATAGATGAAATCTGATGATTTGAAATACTTTTTAATCATAGAACACCTTCGGAGATGTCTATGTTCCGGAAGAGTTTGATCCACCCACGTCTCAAAAAATATCACAATTGTCAAAAAGATCTCACAATGTCTCGTCAGAACCCATTGTAATCCTGGACTCGAAAACCATCAGCATTCCACAATTCACCTACAATGGACAAGGCATAGATACATATTTTTGGATCGGTCTTGGCCCGCAACCATCCAGCAAAGGCCAGAAAGTACCCGACGAATATGGATAGTAAGAGGAATAAAATGAAATTACAAAATGCTATTAGCGCTAGTAAATTAATTTATTTGTAAATTATTATTAAAAATCTCACGATGTAATTAAAGTTATCTAAAAGTATATGTAAAAGAAGTTTCTCTTTCTAGCATGGATTCTCTTAGGTCATATAATAATGAAGATATCATATTGGAATTACCAGGCGATAAAACCGTTTTTAATGTAGACTGGCTAAGTGTTTTCGACGTAAAAACTAACTCTAATTACGGTTCTGTCATTATACCCAACGGACTTAATGTACCGCCGTCATTGATAAAAGTTCGCAAGCAAACACAGTCTCTTCCGAATTGCGTCCAACTGCACAAGCGATATCAGATCGCCTGGGAGATCTTCGGTCCGCAGATTACTATTCAATTATCAGGTCAAGTCGGTATGTACACAAATAGATTTTGTATTAACAAATACATTCATATAGATTCACAATTATCTCTTAAAAATTGAGGCTTGAAAGAGATTACTCATTTTTGCACATTTCGATTTTTCCAGACAAAGATGAATACATGGCATTTGGTTTATCCGGTTCCGAGACCTCCAGCCAAATGGAAGGTGCAGATGTGGCTATCGCATATATGGATGATACACGAGGATACGCTACGGATTACAATATTACGGCAAAGGCGCCAGTGAGTAAAGTTATATTTAATTTATTAAGTCCATAAATAAAAGAAAGTAGGAAAATAAAAGATAACAGATTAATATGTGCGACGATAGTGTGGGAAAGTTCTGGGTCAGTACAAAGGAGTTTGCAAAGATGAGCTTCTCGGTGGTTTAGACAGCAATCAGCTTTACACCGCAGTGAGAGAGGACAACATCAATATCATTACGTACCGACGTACACTTATCTCATGTGAGTTGCATAGGCACGCGCATTTTTTTTCTTTATAAACACTCATTGTGACGTATAGAATAGTAAAAATTCAAATTCGCACAGCCGATGTTGGAGACAAAGATTTTCCCACGGATAAACCGGCATACGTGGTTTGGGCCTTGGGTAGGCTCGATAAAACTAATAATGAACCGAGTTTCCATGATGTATATCCAAGAGGTGATGTGATAATTGAGTTGAGTCGTAAGGAGCCAGAGAATGCATGCATTGATTTTACAGAGCATAATCACAAAATCTTCCCGAGGTGCGAAGAATGAATGTATTTTGGTTATATTTGTGTCAAATTATTTTTTAATATTATATACGAATTTTCATTAAATATCTTATCAACTATCGACTACAAATAGCATACAACCTGTTAGTTATAATTTCCTACGCAACAATATAACTGTTGAGTACGTACAACTCTTGTATTGTATAAAAAACAATCAATATAAAAAACTTGTTAATAGTACACGATAATGATTATTATGGGCATATAAGAGTTAGATTTAAAATCTTTATAATATAAAAATTAAATATATAAAATTACATGATAAACTTTATAATTTATAATAATATTTTCTGATATAGAATAAATCAATATTAAGACATTACATTATATTATATATGTTTCGGCCTTTGTATTAGGCGCTCTTCAGACGGACAAAAATTGCATAAAATTTTCTTCAATTGTATTACATCACAGTTATGTTGAGTGAGAAATAACACTTAACAGTTACATTAGATGATATTAGATACTGTTTTGAAGATTTTTTTTAAGCATCTACTGATTATTCTTACAGAGAACCTTGGCAAAAAACAGAAATATTTGACAGAAGTGTTAGAACTTTTAAAGCAACCATTGGACCCTCCGGAGGGAAACGAGGGTATCAAGGAATCACAAGTATAAACTTAATTAATTAATTTCGATTATCGTTTATCGTTTTTACGTATACAAAGATTTCACGAAATATATTCGCAGGTAAACCATCGGTGGGTCTTGCTTGGTACATCGAAGGTGCATTGATACCCGAATTATATCTACGACGAGGCTTGACATACAGTTTTCGTGTTCACGGTGGAAATAATCCGCATAGCGCGGATCTTTATCATCCGTTAATAATAACCGATGATCCTCACGGGGGATATGATACACTCAGCGATCTTGCGCAAAGTAAGATCAGAGTGTTGGCTGGCGTTGAACTGACTAGAAGAGGTCGACCGCGACCGACCGCAGGTTTGTATAGATCCTCCTTACGTGACTCACACATTTAATATAAATTTAGACACAAATGTTCGCGGAATTCTTTACTTTGTTATTTTTCAGTTGGGCCGCTTTGCTTAAGCAAGCACAACGGTCGAGACAGAAGACTGGATGATAATTTCCCATCATTCAAAAAATTCAATAGAACGCTTGTGCAAGTCTGCGAACCAGGTAAAAAAAATCTCCTTCGATTTTAAATCTTTAAATTTCTGGATGTTGACTAAAATGGAAAAATTCGAAAAAGTTCACGGTTTCGAACATATGTGAAGACAAGTAATGATTATAAAAATCATTTTCTTACGTTTCTCTATCTCTTATGTGCAGGAGAAGGCGGCACTTTAGTAATAAGTCCAAACTCATCATGGCCCGACCTGGTATATTATCACTCATTCACACACGCAAACATGGGCTGGAAGATTCACGTAGTTGATTCTTACACGAAGAATGGTGCAATCATACATAAATTATCATTACTTATTGCAATTGCGATTGTATTTTGCGGTCTATTTTTATAAAATTGAACATTACTCGCAGAAAAATATTCCTATTGTCAAATATTTTTCTGCAACTTATTTAAATATTTTACATAAGAACGCGCTAAATTATTTCTAATGAATTACTAATTCTTCAATGTGTACATATCGATAATCCACAAAAATACTAAATCATTGTATGTTGGTTTTATTAAAAAATTAAGAAACTCTAATACAATAGTTCCTATAAATTCTGCATTATCTGCACGATTTAATAACAGATTATAATAAATGTATAAGCTTAAATCCGCTGTTTGCTCATAGGTGGCATTAGTGAGCGTACAAAGCTACCCTGGGCACACAACACACTTTTTTTTATGTGTTTAACATCTGTCAACATTAACCAGCACATCATCAGCAATTTCATACAACAACATACATTTTTTCTTTCGTAATCATGTCTAGTTTTTTGCTAAAAAAAAAGCATATGCGGGAAGCTTTGCTTTTCTGTTTCAATTTGAAGAAATCGGCTGCCGAATCACATCGAATGCTTGTGGAGGCCTATGGCGACAATGCTTTGTCGGAAACAACGTGCAGAGATTGGTTTCGCCGGTTCAATGACGACAATTTTGACCTGAGTGACAAGAAGCGTGAAAATCGGCCCAGAAAGGTTGAGGACTGTCAATTGCAGGCTCTTTTGGACGAGGACAATACCCAATCGCAAAAAATGCTTGCCGAGCAATTGGGTGTTTCTCAAGCAGCCATTTCCATGCGGCTACATGCCATGGAGAAAATTCAAAAGATCGGAAAATGGGTACCACATGAACTGAACGATAGGCAGATGGAGCGACGCCAAAACACATGCCAAATTCTGCTTGCCAGACAAAAAAGAGAGTCGTTCCTGCATCGGATTGTGACAGGCGATGAAAAGTGGATCTATTTTCAGAATCCTAAACGCAAGAAATCTTGGATTGATCCCGCCCAACCATCAACATCTTCCTTAAGACCAAATCGCTTCGGACGGAAGACGATGCTGTGCGTTTGGTGGGATCAGGAGGGTGTCATCTACTACGAGCTATTAAAACCTGGTGAAACTCTTAATGCTCACCGCTATCACCAACAACTGATCAAATTGCACCGTGCTCTGCATGAAAAAAGGCTGCATTATCGGAAAAGACATGACAAACTGATTTTCCTCCACGACAACGCACCATCGTCAACAATGGTCCAAAACTACTTGGAGACACTCAACTGGGAAATGCTACCTCATCCCGCTTACTCACCAGACCTGGCACCTTCTGACTATCACCTGTTTTCGTCGATGGGCCACGCGCTCGCTGAGCGGCATTTCGATTCTTACGAAGACGTCCGAAAATGGCTTGATGAGTGGTTTGCCTCGAAAGATGAGGAATTTTTTTGGCGTGGTATACACAAATTGCCCGAAAGATGGGAAAAATGTATAGTTAGCGAGGGCAAGTATTTTGAATAAATTTGTTTTTGCTTCCTAAGAAAAAAAATGTGTTTTTCTGATTAAAAAATAGCGGATTTAAGCTTATACACCTAACAAGCTCAATTTTATATGCTCTCTTTATTTCACTATGTGAAAAGAACATTATTTATGTTATAAATATTAAATAATATTTAAAGAAACATTAATTTATGTAAAGAAAATAAAGAACCAGATAAAGTAAAAGGATGTTAAACGTTCAAATTGTTATAATAATTTTTTATTTCATATACCATTAATTAGTTCAGTAAGATATCGTGAGCATATAAAAGACAACATTACATTTGCAATGCGTTATATTCAAACAAGAAGATCGATGTGAGTATATTCCTAATATTTACGTGCTTAAATAAAGTGCCAATTGTAACAATTCAAATCTTTTTTTTTTAATCGCTTTACAAAAGTTTTTTTGCTAAGTTTTAATGCAGATTGGGATATACAAGAATGTGACGTTTGCTTCAACTGTGTACTTATAACGCATTTGTTTTCAATTTTGTATCAATTAATATTCTCGCTCATATATTGTATAATTATATATTGTATAATAAATTGTAATATCTTATCATTTTTTAATGAACGTTTGTAATAGCCTCACATATGATAGTCACTATGTTCGATAATGTAGTTAAAATTTATAGATTTTTATGCAAAACATATCGATAAATTTCGCTATTTATTTTTATTGACATTTTAATTATGTGGCATATCCGTCATATCCTTATATTCTTAAATAAAACGCTGAAATACTTAAAAAGCAATTTGTATATAATTTAGATTAAGTTTTTAAGGCTGATTTCAAATACTGTATTACATATCAACTTTATTAGTTTTTAATTGTGTATTAATTTCAAGATTGCATGTTTTAAAATTTATATTGTGTGATTGATAGTTTTTCAGCGTTTCAAATATATATTATCAACATATTATCATTTTTATAAATCTTTATATTGCAGGTAATAATAACAAACAAATCTAAACTATAAAGCGAAACTTAAAGACTTAAATTACATACATGAAAAAATAAATTAGTAAGCAAAAGTCTTAATTATAATTCAGATGTTGATAAAGGAATCCAATAATTCTTATATTGTATTTGTATAATTCTCAGTTATACTCTCCAGTGCAGTTTTGGTTTTACTTTAATATTTGTTATCACATCAGGATTTTTACAGATTAGATTAAGGGAATGACGAATGCGAAATTAACTTTTATTGGCGGGCATTCTTGCACAGCAGAGGCAGCGAACTTGTCACTATCACAGAAAAGTTGAGTTTTCCCAATGGAGTAATATAGCGATTTGAGATATAACGTAATTATTAAATTCAAATAATTTTGGAGATTCATATCTTAACCATATATAAAAAATTATCTAATTTTGATGTAATAGCTCAGTGTAAAAAGCAATAATTCTAGAAATACAATTTATAAACGATAAATAAAAAATTAAAATCTAAATTTAAATAAAAAATATAATATAAAAAGAAAACGCTCAATAATATCAAGATGCTTCATTATATATCAACATCTGAATTACAAAAAATATTTAGTAACATTATTATAAAATATATAATACAAAATATATAGAATATAAAGGCACTCTATTACAGTTTTTATATCAATTAATCAATAACTTAAACAGAATTATTAGATGATATTCTAAAAATCAATAGAAATATTTTCATTAAATAAATACGTATCATAAAAAAACATCATTCACAATATTTTTGAAAAAAATTTAATATAATTCTTTCTAAAATTTAATAAATTAAAATTTTAATAAATCAAAAATCTTGCATATAATGTTCTTATTTTTATACAGTTATAGTTTGTATCTTCAAAAAAACAATTCATATTGCCAATGTTTATATTTTCTACTGCATAAAGTATTTTTTTTTTAATTAGTATAATATGCCTAATGACTTTTGAATACAGATTTTTCTTCAGCAATATCTTGCAATATTTAAGAATGGCTGTCCAAAATTGCACAAACTCTTAATATTTAATTAGATTACGCAAGTCGCTGTATAGAAGTATTAAAAAAACGATTTTACACATTGTAAAGTATATATAAGTATATCTCATCGAGAAAATTAGTTTTTATAGAAGCACTCTTTTCTCACATTCAGTCTTTTCACTTTGATGTCTTAAATTGCATGCGCGATATTTACAATTTAGATCACACTTAACAGGAGGATTCTAAAAATAGTACTTTCTTTATATATAATTAAAATTTTGACATTGTTTCATTTCACATTATGTTATGTTTTTTTTCTATGATGTTCTTATAATCTGCATTAATTAATTATAATTAATATATACCATTGTTTATTACTACATACGAAACTTTTGATATTGTCATATATGTTGGAATTATAACAAAATACGTTGTAAGATTGTTCTTAATAAACATTCAAGTTATTTGAAAATATTATCAATATCATTCTCTATGAAGTTCAAGAAAATAACGTAACGTAATAGGTAATTCCGTACTACGAATTCCATATTTACAAACAGCTTGCGCGGCCTGACACTGAAGGCTAGTATAATTAAGGAGGTTGATACTATTTAGTGGATTAGAGGATATCAATCGCGCTGGTGTATCTCCCGCCCTATTTGGTGTATCCAAGTGTGCGCCATAATCCAACAATAATTTTATCAGCTATTACAAATATAAATCATTAAGTTTGATTTATACAAAATTCTATATAAAAAATATATGTATAAAGAAAAATACTTACAGGATTGCGGAAATTATATGCGTTACTCGCTACATGTAAAGGTGTTGATCGCATTATATTTCTAGCATCAACATATGTCCCACAATCTAAGAGTAATTTAACAACATCTAAACGTGGAAAAATTGTCTGAAAATATGCACCACATATTTCTATTATTATATATGTACATATGTATATGTATTTCCTCCATATCTAATTTATAATCGATTTTTGCATCAAGTAAGTCCAGGGAATAATAATTTTTAATTATAGAATATTAATTAATATATAACTGAAGGTCCATACTTACATGCATATCATCGGCAGAAGTAAAATAACTAGAATTAATTGTATTTAAACTAGAAACGCAAAGATGGAGAAGTGTGTCCTCTGTATAAACAGTTCTTGGATTTTGTTTCACTAAACCACGGACTAGTTCGTGCATTAGAGCTTTCTCCTCATCAGAATTCGCCGTTTCTACTAATAGATAAATAAGATGTGTCACACACTTCAGGATGCGTTCGTAACTATCTCTTTGTCTTTTATGTACAGGACGCTTCTATAATATTCACATTTGTATAATTAATTGTACAGCAATAACATACACAATGTATTATAATACAAAATTCTCTGTAAATTGTGTGTGTGTGTGTGTGTGTGTGTGTGTGTGTGTGTGTGTGTGTGTGTGTGTGTGTGTGTGTGTGTGTATGGAAATCGCATATACCTCCAGCAATTCTCTAGCTTCGGTTAATTGGCTAGAAAGTAATTTAAATATCGCTACTACGTCGCAAAATCGCGGTTCCTGCTTTTCTCGATTACGATCCATTACTTCCAACGTTTTTTCATTCAGATCTACCATAAGCCTTACAAGAGCTTGTGCGGTAAAACAAGTATCTGCATACAAGATCTGCAAAAAATATCGTTAAAATGTGATAAATTTTTCATATGGAATCAATGATGAAAAAAAATCACATAACCTATAACTATGATATATATAAGCAATTAACATACCGAATCTTTTTCTACTCTAATTTCTAACGCGCGACGCCACAGATCTATACAATTCTGATATCTAGAAAAGAACCTCTTATGATAAAATATACAATATAAATATAATATAAAATAGTTTAAGAAACTAAAATATTTACCTTAAGGCATCTGCATACGATGCACCTCTAAACATCAGCCGGAAGAGAGTATCCTTATGATGCGGACCTAATATCCTTTCACATATCAGCAGGCTTTGTATTCTTATTGCATCTAAGTCAAGCGAAATAGCGCTTAACTCATCCAAATTTGAAAATTCCGTAGCGTTTTTATAAGCTTCGCGTTTTGGTAATTCAGGTCTCTTTGGTAAAGGCACTCCGTCATCCGAGTTGACCATTCTGAGGATCATCGCTGCCCTCCAATATTGCAACGCCATGTGCGTGTCATTATGATCGTCAAAAAATGTAGATCCCATCAATTCGTTTGCATCTGCCAATCTTTCCGCAGAATACGATACGTTTTCCACTAAATTATACATAAATGTTATACATACATCGTGAAAGAATACAAGAGAATAAATCTCTTATTATAGAGATTTATTATAAAACAAATAGATGTTTCAATGTTATATTGTTTCAATGTTATAATTAAATCCTCTCACCTAAATAGTCAAATATTTGAATAGCTCCTTTAAGGCAGGCAGTCTGGAGGGCATCATCATTATAACGAGATCTAAGATGAGGATCTGCATTATGTTCTAAGAGCAGTTTAGTAGTTTGAAGTCTGTGCTCTTGTATAGCATAATGCAAGGCAGTTTTGTTCTGAATGTCAGTGGCATTTACATCCGCGCCATGTTCCAACAAAAAAGTACATAACTCCACACTTTGTACAGAATTTATCAAACATGTTCCACCATTATAATTTGCTTTTAATATATCGGCGCCGTTTTCCACTAAATAAGAGACAATATCTGGAAAATATGTGTTATCCACATATTTAAAATCATTCTGACAATCCAGATAACTTGCATTATCTAAATGCAAATAATCATATTTATAACTAAGATTAGATTATATTATAAAAAATATTTATATTTAATAATAAGAAAAGATATACATTTAATTATATTATTACATTATATATGTATATTTGGTTCTTTTAATGAAAACAAAGTAATTAACACAGATTGCAACACTTGCAAAGAGTCTAAAAGTAGGTCTGACCTAGACCTGGATACACTCATATTTTTATTCTAATTTAATTTAATCGCAAATCTACTATATTGCTTTTATTGTAAAATATGTATTACTTATTTGAATGCAAAAAATTATGTAGGCGTTGTGTTATTTTAATTGAAGAGGCATAAGTAGATAAAAAAATCACATATATATATTGTAAAAGTAGGATAAAACTATTACCATTTCTCTATTTTAAATTTCTCTGATTTAACATACTATCTTTAGCAATAATTTGATTAAAA